TCATTCTGTATAACACATACTATCCAGTCTATTTATTTCTTTGCTTGAACTCAGTTAGTTTAGTTAAATTCAAACTTACTTTTCAATTCATCTTGCCAATTCTTCTGTTATAAAGGAGATCTAACTAACACTTTCTGAAGAAATCATTCTAACCTGTGAATATTTTAGAGTAGAAGAAGTTTTGGCACTGTTACCACAGGATTTTATTGCACAGTTTTCTGGATATTTATTATCATACCTATGGCCCTTACATTGAACTTTTGAGTCAAATAATTTAAACTAATGCTGTTTATTGAAATAATGAAATTCTCTGCAAATAAAAGTACGCACAACTGAGAGGGATAGTTTGCTGCTGAAGAAAAATGGTTGTATGAGAGAAGTGTCGAGTCTAGGAGAAGTCTTTTTCTAGACATTGGACTTTTGCTTATGTTGCATAGATCCTAGATGTTATACTTTCTACAACCAAATACTAAGGAAGAATGTTTGATGTTTGGTGTACCCATAATGACAAATTGTGCATTACCTCAGAAGATGTATCTCAATGCAATGCAACCATGGATGTTTGGCACTTGGTGAATTTGAAACCATGTTGGGAGGTCTGAACAGAACTTACAGGCCATCATCAGCCAGAGTAACACAACCCTAGTTCTGATGAAGACCATTTGAGACCAGCAGTGAAGAACTGGATGTGCAGCCAGTATAAACCTCCTCCATTCAGAGCTGTTTTACTATCAGGTGAGACACTAGGTACCAATGGAAAAATACCGTGATCCATGAGGCAGTCGCAGCTTCATCAAGCCAGGAGTACATCTACTTCCCTGTACCCATGATAATAGTGGCATCTCAGTTATCACCAACCTCCTTGAAACTGAAGACAGAAAAATTGCTTGGATAATTTGATCTCTCAGTAAGCTTTCAGTGTGAAAAGAACTTTCTCATGATGACATGGAAAGCAAAGAAAATCCAATGTCAGTCTTATTTAGCGAGGTGAGAATGAACTTCACAACCTTAGCCTTTTAATCCAAACATAATATAGAAACACTATTATTCCTACCTATGGAAATGGACATACAATTTTCCGAGTTGGAAGTGCTTCTGTTGGATAAAAAAAGAACACTGGAAGAGAATGATTGGCTCAGTCAAACATGTCTAGCATTTTAGAATGAAAACACCATTGTATTACCGCTACCATGGCTGGATGTAATTAGGTTTTCAACTAGTATAAAACTAGAAACATCATAACCAGCTCAAAAACAAGGGGAACTTTAGGCAAAAATGTGAAACTGTCAGCAAGTGTACATGATTCGAGCAAATCGCATTGAATGTGGGGAACATCGTGACATTATTTTGACAAAAGGAATCAAAAATTATTTTGCTGAAAAGAAGCTGGGTCCTCCCCAATCAAACTGCTGATACTGGCCAGGCCAGTAAGTCTAATAATATTCATACATATACTAAGATGGCCAGTAACAGCTGGTGTTATTTACACAACCCGTCACCAACAATATATCTAACTCACATCATTGAACAACATTTCAAAGACATTGCCGCCAAATAAGTTACCTGATATTCCTGCCTGCCTTTCTGAAACTACCTCACTATCACAAATGTCATAAAAGTGGAACATTGGCAAGAACATACTGAGATATTAGAAACACGTCAGTCTGTGACTAAAAAGATAAGGACTCTCCAAAGATGATGTTTGATATAGAAAAAAAACAATGTAGCAAGGGCGAGGTTTCGAACTCTGCCAATAGATGACATTCACACGATAGGTCATGTTTGATTTTTCTGTGAAGATTTTCATTGTATGGCTATATTCATAAAGTCTGCTTAATGACAGACTCCGAAAGCTAAAGCACACCATATAGTTTACCTAAATGTCTTTGTTTTAGGGGTATCTTTTTAAAAAAGATTTTACTCTTTTTCCACCCTAACATTAATGATTATTTAATCATTATCATTTGATTTTATTATTTTATTCCCGTAGTTTGCATTTTAAAGCTAGAACGTGTTTACACCTTAACGAGGTCCAGAGGACAGAGGTTACACATGTATATATAACTTCCTCTGTACATTATTATATTAGAAATATTTCTTCTGAAACATGAAGTGGAATTATGAGTAAATATCAATAAACCAATTACTGTAAAAATATCAAAGAGGTTTTGATTAATGAGAATAATTTGATATCCAGTCTTTTAAAATCCTTAAAATTGTGCTTTTCGTTGATTGATAGAAACGTTGCAGATATGAACCCGACATGTTTGAAAGCATGAAAATTCTGTTTTATTTACAGTTTTAAGCTCGGATAAGTTAATTTTTAGTTTGGCTAATAATGTCAGAGAATATTCTTTTTAAATCAAATATCTTAAACTTACATCTAAATCAAGTTCCGTCACCGAAACCTTTGTTTGTTGTGATTCAAAGGGCCCCCCAGTGGCACAGCGGTATGTCTACGGACTTACAACGCTAGAATCCGGGTTTCGATACCCGTGGTGGGCAGAGCGCAGATAGCCCATTGTGTAGCTTTGTCCTTAATTACAAACAAACTGATTCAAAGTATCCTGTTACAACAGATTTTCAGTGATTTTGTAATTTGGATGGTATACACTAATTTACCGCTTGATTAGGACTCCAAATACACGTTTGTAGAACATTCAGTTTGCTTGTTCGCTGGTTTATAAAATTACACTAATCATTTGGTATGTCACGTGATTCCTAGAACATTATAAATGCGAAAATGCAGTTATATGAAAGTCAATCTAAAACTTTTGGATAAAGGGCATAATAATGGGTGTTCTTGTGTATTAAGCTTCGTAATCAAAGACCAGCTGTTGAATGACATATCTTTTGAAAATCTTTCCTACGTACACTGACATCTTTAAGAAATTCCTGACAAAAACTAATTTTGTGGGCATAGTGGGTTGGTTTCGATTTTCTTGATTGAAAAGTTGTTATACTATTCTCTCTTCATAGGTATCCATCATTTAGGCTTGAATTGACTTGTTTGAATGGTTTCACGAAGGGATATTCAGATTGCTAGATTGACTGAATGTGTTATCAAGTGTGTTATCATTTAATGAGTGTAAAATCTTCATTTATAGTTGTTCTTTTTTCGAGTGGTGTTCATATCCCATTATTTTAGTATTATTTCAACTTATCATATGGTCTTCTCTGGCACGATGGGCCAACGCAGATAAACCACTTTATATCATCTTGTATGTTTATTACGTTTTTGAGTTGTATTTTTTTAGTTAGTCCTTTTCTTCTCTAATGTATTGGAGTCTACATTCACAAGGGATGCTGTAAATGGCGCTTTTACTCTCCATTAGGCCTTTAGATGGTTTAGTTGTATTAATTATAGTGGTAATTTATTGTGGCTTCTGAATACTGTTCTGACATTATGCTTTTATATATCTTATGTATGCTTTCATGTTTGACGTGTGAGAGTATAGTTATGTGTCTGTAACTTTTTTCTTACCTATTGTTAATGACTATATTGTCTTCTTAATTTTAGCCTTTATCGTGTGTTTCGAATATTCGTTCTCAAAAACGATTCTAATGTTGTGGTTTCTTCCTTCTTAGCGTCTTAGATATTAAAAATCTCTCGAAAGTACAAAGAATACCCAGAGTATTCGTAAACAATGCTATATTTTTACTCTGCTGAACAAAATATCTACTTAGAAGATAATGAAATAATCCATCGCGTTTCCATTCTACGAAATTGACTGAAAGATTTTTAAACATAACTATCTTCTTCAGACAACACATTTGACGCTTACTCATCTGCCAATATCATATTCAACTGACGACCACAATGCTTGACAAATGGGCTATAATTAATCAAAATAACTTCCGGCATCTTGTGGATTCTATGTCTAGACACATTCAGATTATTATTGTGGCAAAATATAATGGTTCACGTCTGTATAAGTATGTATGTGTATATGTGTGTGGAGAGGGGAGTCCTAAAAGTCAGATTATAATTTTGCTAGTAAGCCTTTATTGCTAAATCTTTAGGTTTAAGTGACTAATATATATATATTAAAAAAAGATTGTATATTATAAGAAAACAGCTTTCAAAGAAAAATAATGCTCATTAATTTCCTCGGGTGTTAAAACAGACTTTATTCAGAAAATGCTACAAAAATTTGTTTCTAAAGGATATGAATCAATTCTATCCTCGATTTCTTCTGATCTTACAATAGATTCACCAATAAATACATTAAACAAACATTATTTTCCAAAAAGATGTTCAGTAACTTAAGAGATAAAACAAATATTGAACCAAGTATATTTAATTGCTATATTTAAAGCTTGTAAATTATAAGAAGCTTGTATCTGATTATTATGAAATATACTGAGTTTAATGAGGAACATTTTGTGAAAACAGCTACAGAACATACTGTACTATTTTGAAAAAAGTGGTTTGCTCGTCATATCGTTGGGTTTATTGTAAAAATATAATGTTATATATATATATATCAGTTTTGTTTCATTGTAAAAGTTCTAGTTTCGTAATATTTACAATTATTATCGAACTATTGTACAATTTGAGGGGTTCTTACAGAAAATTCTGGGAAACTGAAATACTCATTTCAAACAAAACATCTTTAAAAAGGACTGAGACAGTTTAGATAAATTAAAAGATAATTTAGTTATTGTAACTATTTTGTACGTGTCGTTTTAGAAAATATATGAAAAAACACATACAACTGCCAAGATTAAGGTAAAAGACGAAAGTTGTTTTGTCCAGCTTATAATTATGATATGTATATTATTATAGATAACGTTAGAGTCTCCTTAGGGGAGGTTATGAATTAATTACTTATTTCAAACGTTGACTAATGGTAACAAATGGTAATTCATTAAACAAACATTATTTTCATCTATAATGCTTAAAGGAAAATCACAAGGTGCAGTAGAATGAAGAATATTCCGTTTATTTGAAAGTTAAATGCATCTAAGAATTAAGGATTTATATTTTTAATCATTTAAACTTTACTGTGAACTTTCTTCGTCTTGGTCCATTAACGTTATCTCGTCCGCTGTATTAATAAATGTCATAAAAGCAAGATCAGATTCATTGGATTCTCTATTATTGAAGCATCGTTGAGAAGAGGATTCGCTAAGCACCATTTCATGATGATGTCTGCAGCATCTAATAATCTGTGCAATCCAGAAACACCCACAAACCATCACTAGCAAAACGCCACCTACCGACACAAGTACAATGCTAACGTAATTGGTTCTAATTCCTAACAAGAACAAAAAATCTTCCTCTTTTGTCGTCACTTGAACTGAGTTAAGATGAATGATGAAATTGTCGGTTTTAAGACATAACCAGATGGTGTACCTTGTTCCTGGCTTTAAACCACTAAGAGTGTAATGCTGAGCAGTTATACCAGTTTCAAAGGATTTACTCAATATTTTTGCACTGTTTTCTTCCATATATTGAAGTATGAAGTCTGCATTAATAGCGCTAGTTGTATTCCAAGATAATGTAACAAAGTGTGAGGCAACCGTTAGTGCAAAAAGTTGAATGTTTGGGTCTTTTACATTAAGCGTAACGTAACGAGTCACATTTCCTTCTTTGTTAAATGCAAGACACATATATACCCCACTGTCATCGTTATGAAGATAACGTATCGACAAAATACCATCACGAACGCAAAAGCGACCGTGACATTCTCCATTGCTCAGAATATAGCCATTATTCAAGATCCATTGGATATTCGGAACAGGAACTCCAGAAGCTGAGCACAAGAAAGACACTGTTGTTGCTGGAAGGCGAGATATGTTCAAAGGAAACAGCGGTAAGATTCTGGGTGGACACGTGTCAGGTAATTCAGGTAAGGTTCTAAGCACATGTATCTTTCCATTTTCATCACGACACTTTGATTCTCTAGCCATCGTAGGAATGTCATTTAATTGAATTGAATTTTGAATCCATCGTATTGTGCAATCACAATAGAAAGGATTTCCTTCAAAAAAACTATTCGTGATTTTTGACAGAAACCTTTCTGATGCGGTTTCTAATTTATTGTTAGACAAATTAGCAAAAGATAGTTGGGGTACGTCTTTAAATGCATCAATATCGATATAAGTAAGTTTGGGATTTCTGGATAATTCAAGATGAGTCAATTTTGGGAGACTAACAAAGGCTTTCGATTCTATAAAAAATAGGTGCTTGTTTTCATTTAAAATAATTGTGGATGCATTTATCAAACAGAAAGCTTCTGAAGATATAACACGAAACGGATTACGACTAAGATCTAGTACCTTAATGAAAGGTATTTGCTGCAAAGCCTTGGTTGGTATCTTGAGAAAAAGATTCCCTGAAAGCCGCAGCTCCAGGATTTCACGAACACGCCGGAAAGCGATTTTACTCAGTTTTACTAATCTATTATTTTCAAGATTTACGAGCTGTATTTGTCCGATATGATGAATAACTGTTTGTGATATACGACTGATATGGTTATTTGATAGCAGTAGGATCTCTACTGATCGCAAGTTCACAAAGTAATGTGAGAAAAGTGTGTCCAGTCGATTATTTGTTAAATCTAGACTTTTTAATTTGGGAAGTTCTAAAGAGAGGGGAAAAATTGTAGCGATTCGATTGAAGCTTAAGTCTAAAACTTGTAAATTTGGAAATGGTCGAAAACTATTTGCTGGCAAAGTCACTAGATAATTGTGGCTGAGGTTTAGACAAAGAATGCTATCTAAGACAGCTCCATGGTTTTTCAGAGATCTCAACTGATTGAAACTTAAATCTAAAAGAAGAATGTGAGTAAGAACTAAATCAAACATATTCAAGTTTCCTGAATGTCCCAAAAAGTTGTGTTTTAATACTAAAGCTTCTGTATGGCTAGATATATTGGCAGGGATTAAAAAGAGAGAGGAATTTTCACAAAAAACTGTTCTAGTGTCGGTATTTAACGTCTGCCACTCACACGTGAAACATTGGCATTCTGTAGGGCACGACGTGTTCCAGGTTGAGCTCTCCGAACTGAAACACCAGCAATTGGAAGAAAATCTAAGGGATTCGTTTCTTGATGAAAAACAGAGACACTCTCCAGGGCAAGGCGAGTTCCATTCAACAATTTCTGAAAATTCCAAATACTCTACAACATAGTAGAAAATCATTATTTCCTTCCACATGATGTGGAATAACACAGGGATTATTTTTTTTAAATATTCGTCAATCACCCAGAAATGTCCATATATATATATTTATATATATATATAATTCAAATTGATGTATGTTAACAATAAATAAGAATATTCTATTATTTTATAAGATTTAACATCAGACTTAATAGTGACGTTGTATTCCAATAAAACGTATTTCGGGTATAAAATATTATTGCTGAAGATACACTACTGAAAAATTATTAATAGTTGCTGCATCTTTCAATGTATTTAATACCTTGTCAAATAAGATAACTTAGTATTAAACTTTCAGTAAACTTTCTTCTTATATTTCAGCATAAATAGAGATTAACTGATGCAAATATCCAATAATCTTCTCCATCCCTGAAGTGTTCCAAAGTATTGAAGTTAAAATATTTCTCAGCCTTCAACAAAAAACAATCTTTATAGTGCAGTTTTGCTTGGAAAACATGAAAGATTCATATTTCTGAGCTTCTAAGCTAGACCTTCGACGAGTTCTGTCGCCGATGTCAATCCATAAGATCCAATTTTCCTAAAACCCTAAAAAATACAGGATCAAATTTAATTTTTTTAAGAAACACTAGACTATGCATCTACTTTATTCACTTGGCATTACTTTTAATGTTTTTGAAATACACGCTTTAAGTATAAACCATATTCAAAACGCAGTTATATCTGGAATGCTTGAAAATATTTAATTCAGTTATGATCATACTTATAAACATTTACTGTTGAAAAGTTGATTAGACTTAAACAACTCAAATATCTTTGTTAAGAATATTCGGTTGGCATTACAGCTTTCAGACACAAGTTTAATGGTTAAACTTTTTTATTTCTCTAGCAGTTCTTTTTATTAACATATTTTGCTTTTATTTACATAAAGATCAATGCCCTGTTAAGTATATATTTTTAGGTTTCAGAAAGGTTTGTTCAAATATGTATTTACCTCTCTCTCTCTCTTAGGATTGCTTTTGTTCAGATATGTCGTACAGTTTTGATTAGAACTTCAAAATATTTTACCATTAAGTTCTGTAGCTATTGCAAACATGCAAAACTTTTGAACTTACACAAACTTCATGAACTCCCAAGTTAGTTTTTGTTACTTAAATTATCATCATAAATTAGAACATTTTCAACTGCTGAGAAATTAAATAATATGTATAAACTCGGTTTCCAAATAGTACTGCATTATATACACACATTCACATTTAATATTCTGCCAAAAACAACAACAACAACAACAACAATAAAAACCCAGCTACAAAACAATAATCCAACATCTGGACACAAATCATAAGGTAGGTCATTATGTAGTGTGTCATGGACTTTGAGGTACCGACGGAAGTAAAACTCAAATTGATTCATTCGATGGAAATGTAAATCTGGTGATGAATAGTAGAGCCACGGAAACAATTGCAAGCATTTTTAATGAGCGTTTCGGAATTACACATCTTCGGCAAATCTATGATAATAATGAAGGGGACAATTTTATTACAATTGTTAATACCAAAGTGCAATACATGGTGTTAGGAAATTATAAAATATTTAATTGAAAAAATGAAAAAGAGACAGAGAGCTACTTGAATAAAATAAGGGAGGGGGAGAGTTGGAATTTCTGTTGAGGCTTAGATTTGCATTCATAATATGTAGACTTTCTTTTATCAACAGTGCGTGGTCACAACATCCATAGGGTAGAATTGAAAAACATTCTAAGAAAACAGGGTGTGATGACGTTTCGTTGTGAGAATATATAGAAATTTTTGGTGGAGTTTAAAGTTTAAGTCCAGTTATCTTAGAATCTCCCTCGTGTTTAAGGCGCGTATTTGTAAATGGCGAGAAATATTGCTTATGTAGGTAGCTTTACAGTTACCACATGTGTATTTATATACGACATTTTAACGTGAGATAAAAAAAGTCCTTGGTTGTAAAAGAAGTTACTGATACGAAGTGACAATTTAAAGTAATACAGAGTTTAATGTGGGGGTAGAAAGACCTGAGTAGCTTATTGAGTTATGTTTTGACAATAAGACTTTGTTTTCTAAGGTAAGGCAAACTTTATTTTTTACCAAATGAATCAATTGCATTGTTACTTCTGGATAGATGTGGTATCTCCAATGCAATCTGGGTCTTGTGGACTTAAGCACCCCGCAGCCTCCCCCTTTTCTCTTTTCCTTCTTTTTAAGCATGTGAAGCTGGCGAAATTGAGGCTAAAAACATAGATGGGGTAACCTTAATGCAATTTTGGTATTACAGGACACGTTACATAATGACCCACCTTATGGTTTGTGCCCTGGGGTTAGATTCTTGTTTCGTGGCTGAGTTGTTTTTTGCAGAAAATGAAATCCAACTATATTTAATCTCAGGTTTTTGGATGTGCTATGTTCACGCTTTCCTTTCTTTTGATGTATAAATGTTACTAAGATTTTTTAGCTTATATATATATATATATATATATATATATATATATA